ACCTTTTTCGGGTTGTTCCTTGTGGAAATCTATGACCTGCTTCCTGACGAGTCTCATGTCGGCGTCATCGAGCTGCTTCACGGCCTCCACCACCTCCGGCCGGTCCTGCAGCACGCACCGGTCTAACGGCAGCTCCGGGTTCTCCTTGTGGATCGCCTTGATGGACTGGCCCCGCCCGGCGCCGACGTCGACGAACACCGCCCGGTCCGTCGGGTTCGCCTTGGCGTAGTCGACAACCCACGTGAAGTCGTAGATGCCCGAGATGGGCATCTTCTCTTCGATGGGACCCATGGCGCGCAGGAAGCGCTGCATGCGTGGCGGGTCGTGCTGCAGCATTTCATACCAGCCGTACTCTGGCACGCCGTAGGCGAAGGTGCCTGGGACGTGGTTGAGCGTCTGCGGTTCTTTGCGGCCGTACTTTTCGAAGTATGCTGGCATTTGGACGTACGGCACCATTCCATTTTCCCAGCTGGTGAGTGTCAGTGTGTGTAATATGCACGAGGAAGAGAGCGGACGTACGCCATGCCGACGATTTGGCCAGCGGGTTGACCGTCGACGTAAATGCGCGAGCGCTTCGTGTGAGCAACAGCGTCATCACCCACTTGCTCCAAAATGCCCATCGACGTGAGCACACCTCCGATTCTCCCTGGCAAGTGTCAGTCTACAGTGCCTCACAAGCTTCCCCTACGGTCGCTTCGCTTACGTATCAAAGACTCCTCGGCCTCAACCTTCTTAGCGAGCTCTGCATGTGAGATACTCCCCTCCGGCGGGATGTGGTCATATGCTTTCCACTCCCAAAACAGCCTGTTCGCACCCATCTGCGCGACCTGCGCTGTCGCGTCAAACCACTCATCGCCCGGGTCCTTGACCGCAGAGATGAGCTTTTGCGCGGCGTCTACGATGCGCCGCCGCTGGCCCTTGTCGAGGTCACTCCCGGCGGTCCCGGGTTCCTTGAGGAATGTCTGGAGGGCCGCGGTGACTTCGTCCGCGGCGGCGGTCGCCTCCGCCCGGACCTGATCGCCGACGTCTCCCGACATTAGGAACAAGCTTGTAAACTCTTTCCTAAAAGGATGGAGTCTGGCTATTTTGTGGGGAATTGACTGGTGGAAATCAAGCAAGTGGCTTGTTACACGACTCCTTCTTTTGGGTCTCGTATGTGCGTTGGAGAATGCGGTGATTGATTGCTGCTGCGCGTCTGTCGATCAAAACGGTCTGATTGCATACGCAGACGTCACACCGGCACCAAAAGTGCAGTGACCGGGCACACGGGACGGCTCGCGGAGGAAGACAATAGAGAGGCACGGAATGTGGGCAGAATGGGATGAAAGGTTTGAGCTTGTCCGTGCTGACATCAATCGATACCAAGCGGGTTGAGATCAAGGAGGGGAACACCCAACAGGTCAACAGCGGAAGAGGAGAAGAGAAGCGAAGGAATGATAAACAGCCAGCGGGACCTCTGCCTTCATCCATCCCGTCCATCCAAGACCCAAAGTCCCCTTCTTCCCGATTGCAGTGAAGCGAGGTTCAGCTGAAGGAGCGCTATTAGCTCGATGCGGAAGCTCAGTGTGTAGCCACCCATGTGTCGGCGACAACGTGCCGCGCACGTCCAATGTTGCGCTGTTGGGTGAAAATCCTCCTCCCCCTCTCCCCTCCTCGCGGCTCTTCAAAGAGAGGAGATATCGCCGTCCAGCCAATGGGACGATATCAGACTAAATCCCGGACTAGACGCAAATGACCAGGAAGAGGCGGGCTAAATAGGAGTTGGATGAGGGGTTAATAAACAGGAGAGGGGCAGGTATCTCAAAGGAAGCGGGCAGTATTGGGGGAAGCATGAATATGACTTGACGGATCAGAGACACGGGCGACAACGCCACCGCATGCGAATGGGTTCCAGGCCGGCCTCTTTTGGTGCACCGCATCGGCGGCGTCCCGGCTATCCTGCTCCTGGCCACGTCCAACTCCAAATTTCCCAAGCGTCCCCTCGCGGAGAGACAGATCCGCCGCTGAGCTAGCTGGAATGGAGGCTGGTGCCAGCGCCGCCGCTCCGACCAAAGCCGGCTAAGACGTCAGGTAGCGTGGCGTGATAGGCTGTGCTCTCTTTGAGGCAGGATGGGCGCAGGGGTGGCATCTTTTGGTGGTGGCATTGATTTTCCCCTTTAGTGTCTTGACACTTGATCTCAGTGAAGGTAGCTCACTCTGTTCGCGCACTTGAGGCCGGTGTTGGCTGATGCATTGCTGACACGACACCACGCAGAAGCCGCTTCGTAGTTTAACCAGTCCAACGGCTTTTTCTTCTTTGGCCCCTGGTCAAATTTCTCTTTGCTTCCTTCTTCATGCTGAATTCGCCCTGAGCAACTAACGATTGTCCCATCGATCTGGCTGACTCGACCGAATCTCGTCCGCCGAGACTGCGCATCCGGGCTCCCGCGATTGGCTTTTAAGGTTTCTTGAGGGCATTTAATACACCGAGCTGCCCCTCAGTGACAGTTCGCGCAGTCGCCGATCTCCAACGTCAGGGTTCCCCATCAGTTCCAAGGGCACATCCCTGGTCGACCGCTCGTGCCCTCAGCGCGACATCTGACGACTGTTACGGCCGAGATCACGCGTCCCTCTTCTCATCACTGAGACGACATCAGACTCATTGAAGATTCGACATATCATCAACATCTATCTGGTTCTTGGCTCGTGTCAGCTGAAGCAGCCATGGCGGACACAGCAGCAGCCCCCGCAACGACAGCGCCGCCAGCCTCTGAGCCGCAGGAATCGCGACCTGGGGCACAGTCGCCGCAACAACCCTTCGAAGCCGAGAACACAGTCGAAGCCGACACAGATGACGGCGCGTCATCACGGGTGGACGAGACGTGGGATGAAGGCTTCGACTCGGCAAGTTCTCATTCGGCATCGACGTCGATGTCGGCCAGCGTGCGCGATTATGTTTTCGAGAACACGCGGCGATATCACAAGTACATGGAAGGACGGTACCTGCTTCCGAACGACGAGCCCGAGCAGGACCGCGAGGACATGAAGCATGCGATGTGCGTCAACGTTATGGATGGCAAGCTGCATAGCGCGCCGCTGGAGAACCCGCAGAAGATTGTTGATATCGGCACGGGGACGGGGATCTGGGCGATCGACAGTAGGTTTTCCATCTCCCTCTTACCCTTGTTGCGCGCATCTTGTTGTCTCTTCTTATTTCTTGTGTCTCTCGATCCGATGCTTGGCGTGTTTTTGCTCATCCTCGCGGTGGAATGTCGTCGCATGGCCAAGCGATTTCGTCCCCACTTCGCATCCCCTATTCGGTCATTGAACCAATATATGAGCCAAGGCTAACATGCCCAAAGTCGGCGATGAATACCCGGAAGCAGACGTGCTTGGCATCGATCTCTCCCCGATCCAACCAGATTGGGTTCCCCCCAATGTTCGCTTCATGATCGATGACGCCGAGGCAGACTGGGTTTGGCCCGAGAACTCACTCGATTTTGTGCACGCGCGGCACATGTGCATGGCCATCAAGAACTGGCCTGGACTCCTCTCAGAAGCCTACAAGTCTCTAAAGCCTGGCGGCTGGGTCGAGCTGCAAGAACTCCGCTTTCATCTTGAATGTGACGATGGGACGATGCCCGGACCGGAGCAGTACGGTTACGGCAAATTTGTAGACCTCTGCATGTCCGGGTTTCGGAGTTTCGGTATCGATCCGTTGATGATGGAGCGCAACCCCGAACTGTTAAGAAACTGCGGATTCCAAAATGTGACCGAAAAGGTGTGGAAGGTGCCCATTGGGGTTTGGCCGAGGGACCAGAAGCTGAAGACTGTTGGGCTGTACAACCGCAGTATGCTTATTGATGCGTTGCAGGCCGTTAGTATGGCGCCCCTGACCAGAGGCTTGAAGTGGAGCGCGAGCGAGGTTGAGATTTTCTTGATTGATGTGAGGAAAAGCTTGATGAATACGTCGATACACTCGTATTTGACGTTTCATGTTGTGTATGGGCAGAAACCAGGAGGCGAGTTGTAGGAGTTTCATGAGGCAGTGCTCGTCTTTTACGTTGATACCATGGGCGGAGTGGCGAATCATGGCAGTCCACGAGACGAGCCAAATTCAAATTCTGCCATCTTGCCTACTATCTACAGACCTTTGTAGATGGTTCTAGCAGTTCCGATCTTGTAATTAACAATACAGTGAAATTGTATATTATTTATAGTTCCGCGAACGTAGGAAAGTTCTCTTAGTCCAGATGATTTATACTGTAACTCTAACCCTCCACCACTATCAAATCCCACGGGCAACCAGTCCCACATGTGGTCTTTGAAACCTCTGTCAGATGGCTCAACTTGTATTCTGGCCCCAAGAATTCGGTCTTCGCATTGCACATTCCTCTCCTGATATTCTTTTGGCTAAGGGACCAAAAGACCGCACATAAATGTCGTTGCAATGCCACAAGAGCTCATAATAAAGAGTGCTAAAATAGGGCCAATTGGTGGAAATGCAAGCGCGCCGACTTCTCTTTCTACTATCTCGGACGAGCAAGCAAAAATCGCAATCGCGCCATGTTTTCGGACTTTGGAAGGCAACGACAGGTCCAGCTCCCCTACGTATTGCAAAGTCATGTTTCTCGCTTTGGGGTCCTGAACCAAACAAGCTGTACTCCACGATGCTTTTGCCCGCAAATGATAAGGGGACGTAGATCAGGACGGAAAACAATAACTTCTTTGACGACGATGGGTTCATAGGCCGGACGAAGAAGGTGAAACGCCGCGTCACAGGTAGCTGGTGGGTGTTCCCGACGAGCAGAGCGTGTTCAAGCACCTTTTGCCCTTCTTCAAAGTTTTCACACATGGCAAACATTTCAGCGCTCTTGTGTATTAGTTAGACACCAAGAAGGACGGTACTGGTGGGAGACTCGAAGTAATTATCAAGTATCTACCTGTTTCATGGGTACTAATTATTTTGTCGACAAAACTAGCCCATTTCCATTTTGTCTTCACACTAAAGCATCCTGCCATCATGCATTCGAAATGCAAAACGCCTTGTCAAGCGCATCGGAAGGAGAAACATACAACGCCAGAGTGATAATGCTGTAGAGTCCGATCAACATAGCCCCGTGGAGGTAGTTGGACTTGCCGTCTTGAGCTGTGTATGCTACTAGGACAGCAAAGACCAGTGCCATTGTTTGAAACATTTCAAAGCGCAGAGTCATAGGCTTGTCAAGCACAGCCCAACCAAGAATGACGAGCACAGGAGTGGTAAAAAGCGAAACCTGGATACAAGAGCCCGCAGCAATGCCTATAGTGAGATCCATCTTATTTCGAATGGCCATATGTATAGCCATAAGATGTTCAGCCGCGTTACTAACAGCCGGAATGAATGCAATTCCAATAAAGTTCCCGTTTACATGGATTGTATCGACGACGTTGCCGATACACCCGACAAAATAACTCGCGCATACAGTTATCAGATAAGTGGTAAATGCCACTATAAAAGCCGCAGTATAGAGATTCATAATCGGCTGGTCGTCGGTATTCTCTTCATAGGGAATCTGAGTGCTGAAGAGGTCCGGATGTGTGTGAAGTTGGAACAACAGATACAAGGAGTATAGAAGCAGGAGGATGATGGCTGTGCCCCTTGACAAAAGTAGAATGGAGTGCTCTTTGTCGTCCGAGTCTGCTTTTGAAAGGGCTGCATAAAGCTATGCAGACCATTAGCTCGTTCCCAGAACTATTTCCAAGTGACTCAGTCGCCCTGACTTACTGAAGCAGGAATGACCAAACATGCTAGAGACATCGTCATGAATGAGCGAGTAGTTTGTGCTGTAGCGGAGGCAAAGTTTTGTTCAACCCCCTCGCCGTTTTGATCGCACATATTGAAAATACCGCCAAGGAAGAACGATGATCCCGTAACGAGCAGTAGATTCAAGAGAATGGAGCCAAGCACGGTTGATTGTACCACTTCAATTTGGCCATCTTTGAGCGCAATAATGCCGATTATGATCTCAACCACATTCCCGGATGTTGCCATCAAGAGGTTTCCGAGGCCGTCATTCAGGCTCATCGACATTTGCTCAATGGCAAATTCCAATGTAGTAGCGAGCGGTGCCACAGCAATCAGATTCAGGGCGAATATGGCGACTGGGCTCCATGAATTGAGTTGACCCGCCATGATAGCAAGGGGCACCAAGACGAGAAGGAAGTTGGCATAATCTGAGTGGTAGGTGGTTAGTTTACGAAGACATGCGAGAAGACAGCTTGGGCATTAAAAGTGAACAGCTTACTACTCAGGATAGTAAGCTTGACGACGGCGCAGACGTGCAAGAAACATCTTCCGAAAATGATTTCATTCCACTCTGGGACCAATTCACACGCCGATCTCGTGAAGGATTTGAGAACATTGCGAGGCTGGCCACTGTTCATCGCGCAATTGTCGTCATAGTTTGCCGACTCACTTCCATTCTCCAGAAGGCGTGAATTCTCATCAGCCGCGAATCGGCGACGGTCTGGTTCATTGTCGATATTCTTTAGATATTCGTAGCTAGGTGCCATGGTATCAAGGCATCAACGCATGCTGATCTTTTGTGAAGGTCATATCAGTAACAAGGAAAATGAGGGCGGGGGGGGGGAACAAATGTAGGGGTGGCCAAAGCTGTCTTGTGATATGAAATGACGTAAGTTGATGGTACGTATGAGGAAAGCTGAGAATCATATTTGACGATACGTGGCGAGTACGGTACGGCATCCCATTTCGGAGCGCTGCTGCCTAGCCAAGGCTGACTGGAAGAGAGCCTGTGATGGGCGCGTCGAATGCCATGCGCTTACCATGAGTGGTGCGCGAACGAGAATACCAAGAGCTCAAATCTGGAGTCTTCGCAAGGTCTAACTTGTTCCGGATTGTCTGTCGCACATGTCTTGCAAATTTCGCTAGAGCTCCTCATTACGTTCCAGTTTATCACGTGTATGTAATAAAATCCTATCTGCCTACTTACCTATGCTACAGAGACGCGTGTACACGTGTCTCAGAAAACACATACCTCAGCATTTGTGAAATGAAAATCTCAGTGCTTCGCACGTTTGATACTGCAGTAAACTACTCCTCTAAGCTTGAATTTGTTGCAAGCACATGTGTATAAGCATTTGATACAGCTTTGCGACCTTCCAGTCTGGAAAGCAGTCCCGACAAGCAGACGTGGTAGGTGATAACATCGGCATCATCGCAGCGGCTCTCCAACTTTGCGTGGAACCTCGCCACATATGCAGAGCTCTTGCGGACGCCGCGATGTAGGACCATCATCTTAGCATTAATGAATTGAACCTCCATGGCTTGAAATCGAGGAGTTGAGAAAACGGTTGACACGGCATTCTCGAAGATGTCCTGCCTTCCGTGGCCCCAGTCAACGTCATCCCCTATAAGATCCGGAAAGTCTGTGGGAAGTACGTCTCGGACAGCCCCTCTCGCGGTATCTGCGGATTTTGTGGCACCGTATAGGACTGCGAAAGGCTTCTGAAGTGTCCTTGTCCAGCCGAGTATGAGGACCAAAGGGAACTCCTCACTGAAATTCCCATCAGTCCCACGAATGATGATTTTGAGCCTTGCTGCCGAGGACTTGCTAGAATCGTTGCTGAGGAAGGTGAAATGAAAGCTGTCCCATAAGTATTTAGGATCCGGCACAACCATCTCTAGTTCAAGAGATGCTGGGAGTTCGAAGGTAATTCGAAATGACCTGTGCATCCTCTTACGAAGGGCTGAATCTTCTTGAGGACTGACGTCTTTGCGTACGTGTATGGTGAACAATTCTCGAGTGGTATCCGCATTCGTCACAGTCCGCTCATATTCCAGCGACCAAGGCTCGTTGCGAACAAATCTGTCAGTGGTTCGAGTAAGAGAGATGCAGACAGGAATTCCGGTTGCCAATGTGAGGCCAAGCGACATGATGTAGGCATTGTCCGCATGCTTGAATAGTTTCGTTTGGATTTGAACACCCTTGTTCGTGAGAGAAAACTCTTGTTGGGTATCATTCCTGGCAACTGACTTTGTAATGGTGGCACAGGAGCTGAATTCGCTCGGAGACGTTGCAAAAAGCCCTCTAAATATCTGTGATTTTCCCTCGGAATGAGGGCATGCCCTCCACGCAAATAGAGACAAGTCGTTGGTTTCTCTAGCGATTTCCTCCTGAAGGCGGCGGAAGGCTTTATCTCCTTCGCCGTAAATCATTGGCATGTTGATATCAAATATGCCGAGAAGAGAGTATGCCCGGTCCTCAACCCGCGTTGTATCGCGAGTTGCGGCCCAGGACATCTTGACCGCCACTGGAGTGTGTCGCAGGCTTGATGAATCTTGTAAAACCGCATAGGATATTCCTGTGATATTCGATAGGATATTGAGGCAATCGGTCTTTCGAGAAAACTGTTTCCATTCGCAATTGTAGAATTCGATGTTGTCAGGCGCGATGAGCTCTTGCAGGGTCCACCCGCGAGTGAACCAATGGCAACGACCAAACGTTTCTTCGGCATATGGGAAACTTATCTTTGAGGCCACATCCTTGCTATCGCATGGCTGTAGGTCAGAGAGAAAAGCGAAGCAGACTTTTGAGTGTTGATACCAAGCGAACATGGAGTTGATAGCTTCACTGAGCTCCGCACTGCTTGACTTGTCGATGCAACAGCTGTCGATCCATGCATACTCAAGGCCTTGTTGGTGTGCAATCTCACAGGTTTTTGCAACCTTCGAAAACCCTTTCTTTTTCTTGATCTCATGTCTTTCATAAGACCTGATATCCTGAAAGGTTATCTCGTCGGAGCCCCATGTGTGGGAAAGAATCGCATAATCATGAGCAAATGGGCCCGTGACCTCTTTCAATGTCAGAGTATCGGTATTTATGAGCCACATATTGGCGGTTGGCGGGCGTTGTGAATTTAGAAAAGAAAAATAAGCGGAAGACCACCCTGTCAAGTCTTATTTGTTGCGAAGAAGCGCGTGACAAAAACGCCTCGCCTCAGCCCAATCTTGGCGGCTGCCCTCATACTTGCGTGCATGGCCCGTCTTGCTGTCTCACTTCGAGCCTGGATGCGGGGTTACTGGGCACTCTAGGATGATTGGCTCGATTAAAGACCATTTATTGCATGAGACATTCGGAGAAATATGATTGATCAACCCAACATTTCATCAATACATAGGAAGCCGAAAACATGTCGGATCACATCTGTGTCCGCGCGTCGGGGCCCCGGGCGGAGAGCCAAAATGGTGATGCCATGGAGATCGACGTTCGGTGGGGAGTTAGATCGATACTCAAAGGTCATCATGACCTCCTTTTACCTCCAGATATGTCTTGCAACTCAAATAAGCAGCGTCTGTAATAGCCTCTTTGGATTATCCGGCCACGTTGCGTTGATATCCGAACCTGGCGGCCCCACTCCGACCGGCGGTGTCACCGTCCCCTGTCGGTCCAGCCCGCGATGGATACATATCACCGAAAGGAGACGCACTAGAGCCTCGGATAACCATAATAGGTCCGTTTTGCGTTACTCATCATGCATAAGGTGGAGGATCATCACATCGGCCGAAAATTGGAGGATAAGCTTTCCCCCCTCCTGAGGCTTTTTTCACTCTCACAACAATCGATACCCCAACTATCAACAACAGCTATGAGCGACTTCAAGGGCAAGGTCATCGCCATCACAGGCGCAGCATCAGGCATCGGCCTCGCGACGGCGAAGAAACTGGCGTCCCTTGGCGCGCGGGTATCGATAACCGATGTCAACGAGGCTCTGCTTACGTCCGAGGCAGCCGTTCTCACCGGGCAGTATGGCACAGAGAATGTGTTTTCCAAGGTCACCGATGTGAGGGACCGAAAGGCGGTTGAGGCGTGGATCGCCGAGACGGTGGAGAAGCTCGGCCCGCTTGACGGAGCCGCTAACTGTGCTGGCGTACTGGGACGGCAGGGAAACAGAGCGACGATTGCGGAGATCGAGGACGATGACTGGGACTTTGTGATGGGAGTGAACTGCAAGGGAATTCTGAACGCTATGAGAGCTCAAATTCCGGCCTTGAAAGACGATGGAAAGGGAGCGTCTATCGTCAATGTTGCATCTGTTTCTTCCTTGTATGGATTGGAGTTCCACGGGGCCTACACCGCGAGTAAGCATGCAGTCGTTGGACTGACCAAGAGCGCTGCGAGAGAGTTTGGAAGAAAGGGTGTCAGAGTCAACGCTGTCTGCCCGTAAGTTTACCCTGATAATGAATCTGGGGAGACTTCATGTTTGGAGGAGCTCTTATTAACTTCACCTAGTGGACCGATTGAGACCCCTATTCTGGCAGCATCTATGGAGTTTGCAGCGACTGGAGCTGTCCTTCCGCCACCTTTGCTTGGGCGAATTGGGCAGCCCGAAGAGGTCGAGGCAATGATCACTTTTCTGCTCAGTGATGCTGCATCATACGTCACCGGTCAAGCGATGCTAGTTGATGGCGGCATGCTGCCATAAGATGGAGGTCCAGCCGAAGAAAGAGGACCGATCGAAGGAAACAAGGAACAGAAGATCTCTTGTGAAGACTATGAAACCCTAGTAGTGAATTAGAATACAGTCAAGATACCATTTGTCTCATGCATCTACACCTTACGGAGTCGCATGAGCATGAAAGCAGCAACCCCAGAACAGGCCACTCCAGTTGTCCAGATCGCCCAGCTGCGAAGTTGGCTTTGCGAGCCTGCAGCCGCGTGAGATGACTTTGAAACCAGCCTGTGAGGCAAGCCCAGGCTCTCTACCTGAGTACCTCTCAAATAGCTCTTGTACCAGCTTTTGAGGAAAAGACCATCACCAAGCCAAGGCACAATAATGCCAATCAGGAACTTGGAGAGGGGCAGCTGCTGGCAGATAATGCTATTGACCCATCGCCCTTCTTGCATAACCTCGGTGATGTTGTCTTGGCGTTTTGTCTGAACTTGCGCAAGCATAGACTCAATATCCTTGTCCGACAAGGACTGAGAATTTGATTTCAGTGTTGAAACCAGCGTGTTGACAAGAGCTGCTGCTGTCTCGATGGCGCCGTTGCCGCCCTGGGCTGTGATCGGGTGAAGCTGTATGGACCACGTATTAGCGATTCATGTATACCAACAAACACACAGCACGATATGCGTACCTTGTGCGCTGAGTCGCCGATGAGCAGAATTCTTCGGTAGTTCCAACGAGAGAAGACGTGCTCCTCCAATGCCACAAGTGTAGCAACCTGTCGTCCTTCATAAATATCGCGAAACGTGATTGAATCCGAGATATTGTCGTCAAAATATTTCGATGCGAGCGCCTTTTCGTCTTCTTTTGAGAACCTCGGGATGTCTTTCCCGTAATAGGTGCCGTCCATCACGTGGAAGAAGAACCAGTAAACCCGGTCTTTCGGTGCTGGAACCAGCAGGTAGCTCCGCCCATCATTGAAGGCAGAATGCTGCATCCCACGCCAGCCCTTGGGAAGATTCGAAATGCCAAAGATGCACTTTGTGTTGGACTTGAGACCTTCGGCATTTGTAAGAAAGTCATTCACCACAATCTTTTGCTTGCAATGACTTACTTTGGGCCTCGTCTGGTGGAAACACATTCTGCTTCTCCTCAGAAGCAAGGCGCCACATTTCCTGTCTGATAGTACTTCTGACCCCGTCGGCCCCAATGAGAATGTCTCCGGCGTATGTACTTCCGTCTTGTGTCTTGACAGTGACACCTGAGTCGGTCATCTCCACCCGGGAGACTCGCTTCCCCGTCAAGACGCGATCCTTGTGACGGATCTTTTCGTACAGAACCTGGAGAAGCATTTGCCTGTCGATGAAAACGCAGGGGTAGCCCGTCCTAGTCGAAGTCAATCGTAGCAGATACATCGGACGAACTTGGCGACGTACATGCTCTCAATGCTCTCAGAAAGACTTGCGTCTTTCGTTTCTGACAGAATCCGCCCATCTGAGGATCTGATGGAGCACTTGTAGTAGATGTCGCCCCCGATTTCACGCAGGCGTTCGTAGCATCCCAATTGATCGAGGATCTTCAGACCGTTGGGAAGGAGACCGATGCTCGCACCAAGTTGAGGCGCGATTGTAGGGTAGGCTTCTAGGATCAGGTAGTCGATGCCGAACTTCTCTAGCATGATGGCCAAAGATAACCCGGAGACACTACCGCCTACAATCAAAATTCGCATCTTCTTCTCGGTCGCCATGTTGAGATGTAGTTATGGGTGATCCAGGAACTCGATAAACATCTGAATTGAGGGTTTGTACTAAAGCCGTTCGTCGGATGCCTGGACAGTCTGGTTCGTCTTTATAACCAGTGCATCTCTCTATCTACATGGCATTAAACCGCTGGCACCGGGACGCGATAGGTGTCCGCGGACCTCCTATCGGTAGGCCAAGCACATGCTGAGACAGGATCCATTCAGCATGCATACAACTTTCTCGGCTCGGTGCAGCTCATTCGTAGTTTTGGTGCAACGCGACCTCGTTTTTGTGGTTCTCGACGATCTGCATGTTCGGCCGTTGCAACCCCGAAAGTCCGCATTTGACGTCCGCGCAGCTTGGCAAACGCCGCCTCGACCCTGAGTAGCAAGGCCTCATCGTAGCAATCTTGCATCAAGCGAAGACCGCTTGAGATGCCAAGAGATATGATGCGCAACGGTATTGGCCAGTGATCAGAGCGAAGTTCGTCCGAAATGACCGATGCCGATGTGCATGCCTAGGCATCTGGATCAATTGCCTGCCACATGGCTGCAAGGATCGGCCCGTGCCGTAAGGAGTCCCGGAGGCTGATAGTCGATCAGCCTAAGCTGAATCGTCTTTACAGACGAATTGTAGAAGAGGTCAGGTGCGACTTGTACCGTGTCCCGAAGACCTCATGTTCTGTTGTTGAAAGTCGACAAAGTTGTGTGTGGGAATGATCACATGTACCTGCTATATCACCCGGTACTTCTTGACTGTTATCGTCCGTGACAAAAGTCGTCTTGTGAATCAGTTCCTCCGGGTCTCAATATTCGCTCGCAACTTGGTCGCTGCAGTCTCTCTTTCTGAGGACTTCCAGGGCTGTGGGGACTGGCACAGTTACTGCTGGAGGTACCCCTGTTTAGCTAATGGGAAACATGACACGCCAAAATTGTAAAAGACCTACTTGTCGTTTAGAATATTCGGTGAAATGGTTGATGGGATATCATCAGCCATCTTCTAGTTTGGTCTTGATAGGCCTTATGGAACAGTTCCTCTTCGGGGATCTTGAACTCGTCAGTGTCGGACGACTGAAGGTTTTTTGATTAGTGATTGGTCCGAGGGCTGGCCTACCTTGGCGAAGTGGTAGTGGGTATTGCCACTGGCGAAGTTCCTCGAGAACCAGAGCTTCTACAGGCATGTGTGCCATAGCGATGTTCAGTGTCGAAAACAAATTTACATCGCTTACACACACGTCGGTAGCGCATGTGAATTTGGCCTGACATATCATGCAGCCATAAGTTGCAAAGCGCGGCAAGATCGCCATCAGAGAAGTTGACAATATTTGTTGAAATGGGTTGAGTTTGCTAGCAAGGAGTTGGACTTTTGAGATTTCTCTACTTACGCATCTGAGGATAAAGCTGTTTTCGGCCCCCGCGCACTTCACGCGACGGCCCTGACATGAAGTCATAATAAGATTGAGCGGGTACTTCCCGGGGGCCGAGAATGCGATGGACTGAGGCTCCGAGAATCGTAACGGCGCCGGACGAGACTAGAAATTAGCAGGGCCACCCTCATTGGACCAAAGACGGGGAAAATGCCTTGCCAAAACGGCTGCCTAAGCCCTACCTCGCCCGTATTGATGGGGGCTGTGCCGAACTTGCTCAATCAGACGTCTCCTGCATGTCTAGTGCAGTGGGGTCTCAGCTGGAGGCCTCGGTGTTCATCCCCTTGCCTTGGGTCTTGAGCCTATCGATCCTTGACGCGCGGCACGAATATGCCGACTGTGTGTTCGGCTCCCATATTTAGTTGGAATCACCAACCATGAAAGAGGCATGGCCCGTTGGTTGCAACCTTGGACGGCTCTAGGCCGCTGTTCGATTCCACTTGGGAACCTGTAAACTGGAGTAGACCATGCCAAACGGGGTCGCTAAAGTCTGGTAGAACGACACGAAGTACCCGCAATCCTCACCAGTTCTTTAGGTCGAAGACATCAGGACCACTCTTGGTATTGTGACATTACGATGACTGATGAGATTGCTGTTAAACCGAACATATGGCGAGTTTTGTTTGACTTGCCAAACGCGCTGGCACACATCTCACTGGTGGCCATCACGCAGAAGGGCTGAATAGGGCTATGCTGCCGCCAATTCCCCCTGAGAAATCAGCCTGACAACTCAGCCACGAATTCAGGTGAATCGATATACATGTGTCATCTGAAGTGAAATTACGCGTATGTCTCAGCCCAGCCCAAAGAGGGAATATTTCTGCCATTTCATGCACTCAACACTGATCCCATATCATTTGTCGATGTCGTCAGATACGGTTCCGGAGCCCGGTCGGAAGTTTTGAGTCGACGGTTGCAAACGTGGACCCTAGTCTCACGCGGAGAGATTTGCGATGTGCACCGATACAATTCAGAACATCTTATTATATGTCGATCGTACTACAGTCATCTGCTGGGGGTACTGAGCACCACCCTATGAATCTTCACTGTAGTCGTTGAGTTGGCTCGGTGCGAAGCTTGAAGCTTTTGTGAGACTTCCATGATATCCGGTAGCCAGCTGAGCAGCCCCTCTTCATAGTTACCGCACTGCAAGACTCGTACTGTTCAAAACCTCACAGAAGTTGCTCTGATTAGGCAGTGGATGGTGAGCTTCCTATCTGGAACGCTATCTTTACCCTATCTCAAGCACTCTTACACGTCGGCTCACAATCCTAGTTGGTCTTTCTATCGTGGCGCAATGGAGGAAATGATTAGAGTGTATCGATATCCATGCGATGCTTCTACATGGGAGGAGTTTGCTGCCGGGTGCACTCAAAGTCACCTTCGTGGTAATGTTAACGTTGCATTGAAGATTTCTCCTGGTAAGTTGGGGCGGAGCACCCCCTAGCCTGCTGTTCTAGAGGCAGTCAGGCAAGGTAGTTTAACGGTCGGCACACTTGTTTAGCTACCCTTGCACGCCCCAGCACGACTGGTAACCTGGTAAAGGGTTTTCCCCTGGCTATGTGCTTTTGCAGTCCGAGCGTGCTTCTCCGAGTCTCATCGCTGTTTCTCGGCGCGGGGCTTGCGGGGGAGGCCAGACCGTGCCACCGGCAAGATCTTTAACTCTTGCTGAGAACACGTGCATCGCTATTGACCATATCTGTACTTTCGACCGAGACCGAGATTCATGCAGACTGTGTCGCCCAGGATACCTGGGAGAATGTTTCGAAAATCGTTTAGTGAGCTTGAAGCAAAGTCGCAACAATGTTACTCATTGACCATCGACGGCAGGAAAATTATTACATCATCCCCTTATGATGTTCAAGAGGCTCATACTGTCAAACTCTCCGTCAGATGTTGGACATGTGAGAGTACAAGGGGGGTCCTAGTGTGAGCGCCATAACAACGTGAACGACAGCCCGATGGCACTCAGATGCACGGCGAATATGCGGAAAATTATGCCATGGAAGCCGGAGAGAATTAAAGTCCTGCTAGGCGGGCTTTCTAGAATCTCAGTGTCCATCAGTAATCACACCAGACAGGTGCCGGTGCCAAGAATAGCACTGGAGTTGCAATCTTTCGTGTTGTGTGCTAAGCCATTTCAGCTTAGGAGATTAGGTTTAGGCAGCAGTAAAAGGCCTCGCCATATTTCATCGAATTATCGTTGTCAGAACAAAGGGATAGAAACAAACGGTTAAGACTCCGAAAGGTTAACATCGATATGCCGGGCTGCCATCCCATCTTCTGTCGTATGTCGCAACTACAACTTCGAGAGAGTTTTACGTCTAAGGGATGACACTGACGAGACTCCTCAACCTTCAATACCCGCAGTGGAGATGGGAGCTCCAGCCAACGGTCTAAAACAGGGGCTGAATCATTCTCAGCTAGCGGCATTCGCAGATGCCACAGGTTTGCTTCGAGAAGGCAAAGACGCCAATAGGAAGACGAAAAGAATTCCGCGATCTTTTGAACGCATGTTGCCCGGTAGGGCTGAAAGAAGCACTTTTTGTATCGGCGTCGCCGTGTGAATCACCGGAGCTAGGCACCTTCTTCCGTCGAGTTCAGACAATTTTGCGGGAACCTCGAACGGTCCCATCCTCGGGAGGCCCATATTTCTTGAATAATAACTTTCGACTGAGTCGTATGATTGGCTACGTCGTAAAAGACTAAGTGTTAGCGCCAAAACGCTTGTTGTCCCTGACGAAGTTGCTGACGTCGCAGGGAAAACCAGGGGATGGCCAGGGCTCATCGGCGCCCGAGGGGCGCGTCGGCGCGCTTTTGGCCAATTCGACCACCTTGGCTTATATAGTGGGCGTTGCCCAAAAGTGTGATGATGCTTGGCGCATACCCTGTCTTAGCCCCCGCGTTACCGTATCCGAGAGCGCGCTCCCACCTTTTCACCGGTGTTTCGGTACGGACAGCTGTCATCAAGCTCCGTTCGATCTCACAACTTGATTTGTCTGATAAGCTTTCTTTCGTACGCATATCGAAGCCAATAATGCCATTGGACGCGCACATTCCGGGGACCGGAGTCTTTTCGGTGGCCCCCGCGCCGAAGAAGCCCAAGCGAACCAGGGCGAGCGCGTCAAAGGTTAGGACCGGATGTCTGACATGGTTGGTGACCAACACTGATGCCACTTTAGTTGGTTCAAGAATGCTTCGACTGACCCCAAGTTTCCTTTCATCACAGCAAGTAAGGCCTCTTTGCCTGGTTCTATAGTTCGCTATCTAGACTTTGTTTGTATCACCGGCCTCGCTGTACAGGATCTGACCAACTGCTGCTAGAGTCCGACATGTGAAGTGTGACGAGGAGAAACCCACATGCAAAAGATGCAAAAAGGACAAGCACAAATGCGATGGATACCCGAATCTCAATGCTGTACAAACAAGGCGAGCGTCACGATCGCCAAGCGCGAACGCCACTGCTACCGCTTGCATGCTGGCGCGACAGATTCGAAATACGTCGGTGATGCATCTGACAGCACCTGTCAACTGGGATATTACGGGAGATAACATCGAGAGACTCATGTTCCACCACGTGCATAACTGCACCGTTCCAGACTTCGGAGCCTCTACGCCTTTGGCAAAACTTTGGAGCAATTACATCCTACCTCTAGGCTACTACTCCGATTCCGTCAAGCATGCCGTCATCGCCCTTGGCTCCGCCCACAGAGCATTCTTGGAAAACCCCTTTTACGAGACACAAGCGACGGAGAGCTCGTTGGAACTGAGCGATGTATCAACGCGGCATTACCGAAAAGCCGTCTCAGAAGCCATCCAAATTATGGCTGATCCATCACCAGTCAACATCAGAATCACCCTGATCAGTTGTCTAGTCTTCGTCTGTTACGAAATCATCCGAGGGCAATATGACAAAGCCGTTCAACACTTGAGATCCGGAGCAAAGGTTCTTGACTCACTTCACCAAGCAGCACTAGCATACCGACGAAATCCAGCCTCGCTATCCGCTTACGACAAGTGTCTCGCCGAAACCGTCGAAAACCATTTCATCCAGCTTTGCGACATAGCCGGCATGTTTTCGTGCATGGGCATGGATGCGTCAATGCTAATCGAGGAGGATGTGGTTCCTGATCTGTCCTTCTTCGTTCAAGACGAAGAGAAAGACCAGACCAGACCCTTCACTAGTGTCGCCGAGGCCCGATACCAGCTTCATCTCGTCGAGGTCATGTTCTCCGAAGCGTTTGATGAGTCGTGGGTATCCTGCAGTGAAGGCTCCACGTGCAGATCATGTCCCTCTCCGCCTGAGAATGGCAAGGACTCGCCTGGATCAACGACTTCGAGGAGCTCAACGAAACAGGCCGAATGGGATCTGGCCGATAAACATTTCAAAGAGTGGTGCGTTCGCTTCGACGCCTTTCAAGAGGGCCTGCCGGAACGCATCGATCCGGCGGATAGAGAAGAGCTTAAGGCCTTGGACTTCTCCAGGAAGAGTTGGGAAATCTTCAACTCGCACGACACACCCTGCGATATGAAGCATTCGGATATGGGAGTTTTGAATGAGCTAGTGGACATGGCGGAAGACATCATCCTCGGCAAGACGCAAGGAACGAGGCCCACCTTCTCACTCGCGGCAGATGTGGTGCCTTCGCTGTCGTACATCTGCGCGTTCTGCGAGAACGACGACTTAGAACGACGATGCATCGATGCCTTGCGGAGGATGAAGAGAAGAGAGGGAATGTGGGATAGTCAAGAAATGGCCAATCTCTATGACTTCATCCTTCAAGCCAAGTCGGACAACACATGGAAAGACGAGTACAACTGGGAAAGCCTTCCCAACCTGGCGAGGCGGATGAACAATTTGTCAATCTCGAGCTCAGGCCGGGAAGGGTCGCCAACTCCGTCATCGATGCTGAGTCTCCTCTGATTGGTGATGACTGCAACGGCCGTAGGCCCGTAGCGCGGAGTTAACAGGCTTTTGATCTGGGTTGGGATGGCGGGGTTTCCGCAACGAGGCTTGAGTGTGGGTTCTATGCCTACGTGTACATTCTTGATGAGACTAGTCTGGAATAGATCCAGACCTAGGAATGATGGGTAGAGCCAATTGAGGGAGTTTGAATAAAGGGCATGTCTCACGAGTGTGACTTCAGTGCTACGAGTGAACGACTTGTTGACAAGGCTACCTATTTGAGATGCTGTCTTACAGTATGCATGGCAATGACAAGCAGGGAGGTTGCTGCCAGATATTCCATCCTCCAACATGACGGCGCTGGGCCGCTAAATATGTACAAGAAGTCTTCAAAGTGGTATCCTCCAAGTTGTAGCGAACGAGATCCAGAACTATCGTAAATCATACCCAGCCTAGCCAGACTTTAAGATTGAAGCCATTGACTACTCCATTTTTCGGAAGAGACAGAAACAAGCAAGAAACAATGATTGAGATAAGAAGCCCGTGTACATGGGTGTCTATCCACGAGCGCAGGACAGAGTGCCGAACTTGTTGCTGATTGGGGTCTTGTCTGTAGGGTGATGTCAGCGACCATGCCCAGCCGGGGTCTAATGCATGCAAGAGAATGAGGCTCGCAACAGTGCCAAGCCAGAACGTCACCTACCCAGGTTGATGGCACTCTCCGTGGGACTGCCGTTGCAGGTGCAGTTCATCCAAACCCTGAAGACGCCGAAAATCTCATAGATGGGGTCGGGCAGACGGTATGAGAAGCAGTCCTTGCAGACGTCGCCAAAGTGGCCCTGGTTCGCGTACTATGACGAAATGGTCAGCAAAACAAGGATCCGGGATGTGGGCGACTGCAACCCGCGATCGTGCACCTCCAAGACCATAAGAGCATTCCAGCCTCGGATATTCCGTACGTACCTGGATCTGGTTGTTTTGGAACCCAAAGCAGTCGTTCAGGTTGAGCGAGGTGTCCAGGAGGGTGCCCTTTCCGTCGCCAGTATCGCACTTGGCTGTCAGAACGTCGGTGTTGGCGTCGATGTGCTCATCTCTGCACGTCTTGCCGAACTCAGTGGCAATAGCCGAGGTCGCGAAGAGAGCGAGAACTGCGGAGACCTTCATGGTGAAATTTGGGAAATGATGACAAAAGTGTTCTGTCTGATTGATCTCAAGATTTGATGGCTGAGGATGATGTCGGAATTCTCTTCCATCTCTCGGCCGGGAATAGCCTCTTTAATAGATTTAGATTCATCGGGAGAGCCCGCATTCCGCCCGGGTGCAAAAAGCTCCCGTGGTATGTTGACGGATAGCAGCATGCCAGTTTAAACCACTTCAGGTGCCGGTGTTGCCGCCAGATTCCTCAAACGGAGATTTAGACGATATAAACTGACCAACCAGTGCTCAAGATGGCAGGTGCGGAGGATCGACGTCCATCGATTAATGTCCGTCAACACCAATCAGGGAGGTGCAGCAGGTCATGGTCACAGAAAGTTCCACGGGCATTTACTCGGACCATTTTTTCTTCGACTGCTCAAAAAGGCTGTCGCCGAGGGTTTCTTTTTTTTCCCCTGCGTCCACAGTTTGCCAAACATTTTGAAATCAGCTGTTATCGGCAGGGCAAACATCACGATTTGCTTACAGATTGGGTTGCAGCCGATGTCACCCTATATGTCGGTATACCATGCAGGGCTCTAAGACAGTGGACACAGACCCCTCGTTGTCAGCGGGATCTAGACCACAAATACCGCAATGTGATCCGTACCAACATGCGGTGTGCTGCATGGTTGTGGGATCATAGGTGCGTGACCAGCCTTGATTCACCACGGCGGCTGCAGGTCTCTGCAGTTTTGTGCAGATTTTAACATGCAGCTGACTTCCTTTGGAGAAGCATAGAAGACAACCTTACCTCTACGTCAAGCCATTAAGAAGAGGGGATCTTTCTGCAACTGGAAAATCTCCGATTCCATGGCCATCGGGAGGTGGGTTGCTGTCAAGGTCGGACAGCCGTCATTGGAGTCAGTGATCCGGTATTCGGAGAAAAGTGGCGGAAGAGCTTCGAAAATTTCTACCCTGTTCCAACTGCAAACTTGATTGTAGTGGCTGATCAATTGCGGAGGCCTCCCTCAACTTTTGAGGCCCCTTACTTCAGTTGCCTCTAACCTGAATAAAGATGTTTGGCTGCGTGGCTAGCAAGTGGATCATCCCGCGCGGGGGACGTACTTTCTTCTTTGTCTAGTTGCTTTTCCGAATAGCAAAAAGTGCAGGGAAATTAGACGGAAATGAGTGGCATAGATGAATGTCAGCAATTAGGAATTCAACATGCATCCTTCCCCTTGCAGATGTCAGGCAGATGTCAGATGCGAACTTGGCAGCTCTGAACACGGGTCGTGAGGTCGCAAACCTCCACTCATCGTGAATAATTGATGCAAGTCACGTCCCTAGTTGCCTTCTCACGTATTTTGGGATTGACTAAAGACACGTACAAAGTAGAACTTGACTGTTTCCTGAAGCCTACCAAGACTGAGGTTAAAGAATGGCAACACTTTCCACGCGCAGATCCAGCGTCTTTCAAGAATGAAGTAGGTCGGCCTCGAGTTGAGAAAAAGTAGAGCATACTGCCTGGGTAGTTGAAAACAGACTCCTCCGGTAGGCGCGCAAGGATCTATGCCCACTGGTCTGAGAAATATTTTCAAACACTATTTCCAATTACGCATGTATCTAACTGACATTTCAAGGGATATTTAACCTCAACCTTAGCTAGGCGGGTTCTACTACCATTGAAAGGGGTTGATGCGTTCCATCCATTACGAGAGTGAGTAGCATTACACAAAGAAAAAAGGCCAGGCATGAGTTTCAATTCAGCTGCCCATCGCCAGGTCAACAGCTTCAATGTTAGGGCCAATCGTGGGCGGCTTTCCTTTGTGCTGGCGATGGACGGGTAGGTGGTATTGCTCAACACACAGACCGCGATGACTCTCTCAAAAGGCCAGAAGAAGTCAGGGAGTGTCGTCAACAATGGCTATTTGAGAAGCTCCGCGGACTCCGATGATGGATCTTCGAAACAATTCAGTCTCCAAGTTCTTTGCAACGGCGACAGGGATGTAGGAGATGCAGGAGATGAAACCCCACGAACGGTAGTATTGGATGGCCGTGCACTCTCACGGACGTGCGCTCTCGAAGAGGACCCAGAATGGGGGAACGCGAATCCTTGCCAGTGACATACTATGTACTCAGCCAATGGAGATATACCAATGATTCAAAGCAGTTGTTTGAAACCTGCTGTCTATGTCAGCGCACTAGAGAACACTTGCTGTTGAGCAAAAGTAACCACTATCATACTCGGACATGCGTCAATCCAGTCACGGTAAAGTTTACGGCGGGGTTGAAAATTGTTGACGAAAGTGTCATTGAATGTCTGAACTTGTAGAAATTTGCGGAGCACTATTGGTTGAGAAGACAATGTTTGCAAAGCGTTTGTGATAGGCCCATGGACTGAAACTATCCGCCGTGTTGAGTTGCTCATTTCGCACCTGTAGAGAGTACGGCGCAGAGCACAATAGGGCGGAAAAGATTATATACCGGTGAACCACAGGATTTTTGGGCCTCAGTAGATTTTCCATGTTATGAATCGATTTCGGTCGAGATATCACAATACCGAATTTACAAGTTCGTCTTGGCTGTCATCGGGATGAACTTTCATACCGACAGTCAGCTTAGACCCACTCTTAAGTCCGGCCTAAGGGTATAAAATAGAGTTGCTCGGCGTTACAGGTGGGGTCCAGCTAAATTGGCGTCGCCGACCGATGTTCATCAGATGTCAGCAGGGAGTTCTCTGTCATGTCCGTCAGATTTGATTGTTATCCATCATCCCTCATTCATCATTCCACTTCCTGCAGAAGCCAGCTTATCTTTCATCCGCTCATCGTTTCGCTTTTCAATCGTCATCTGTCATTATGTCCGACCTTCCGGCCGCAGGCAGGACTAGGTCCTTCCGGCGACGACGGGAACGGTCCAAGCTGGTCTGCCATCAATGTCATCGCCGAAAGCTGAAGTGTAATAAAGGACAGCCTTGTGATCGGTGTTCCAAGACTGATCCTCCCTTGAGATGCACCTATGACCACTCAGCAACTGATAGTGGCGAGAGGCACCGTCCACAAGAGGCTCAAGCGGCACGGTCCGATAGCCGAGATCGAGTCGCACCTAACCACGAGCCAGTGTCAATTGAAGGGCATGAAGATGTTGGTCTCGAATCCCCACACATATCACCGGCAGCCTGTGGAGTTTCAACCACTTCGGAGACAAGCGTGGGGCAGAGAGAAAGGGTGCAAAATCATCCTGAGATCACGTTATTGACGCCCCAAGAAACTGTCATTGGCGAGAGTTTGGAATCCCCCCCAATCCCAAGAAAGTTTTCCCGAAACCCTTTAAAGAGAAGTTGGTACGGAAGAAGTAGCGTTCACGGTCTTCTTGAAAAAGTAGGTTTTCCTCCCAACTTTCATCAACTTTCTCGGTATTATTAGTCTGACATTGACCGCGCAGTTGGACCACATCATAACACCCCTTAGCCAGGCTGGCTTCATCAAACCCGATGGCAAATTCACTTCTTACAGTGATCTTAAAGACCAACTATTCCGACGCCGCTTTTTGGTTTCTGGAGATTCCGAGGAAGCTCAGCGATCCATCTTCGATGAAATCCCTGACAAGGAAATTGCCATCAAGCTAGTCGACAGATACTTCCAGACATACGGCTCCATCTTTCGATTTTTCAACGAGTCGAATTTTCGGGCTGAGGCTGAGAAACACTGGGAATCACCAGAGAGCGTGTCCTTGACTTTTTGCATTCATCTACTGCTGGTAATTGCCATCGGCAATGCATCGATCCAGCCGACGGAAGACCGACTCCCTCTCACCAGGATTACCACGTGGTGGCATCTCATTCAAGCATGGCAAAGCGTTGCGCTTCGATCTGATCCCCGCGATATAACGACATTACAGTCTTCATGCCTCATTAGTCTGATGCGGCAATGCTACGGTCTAGAGGCGCTTGCGAGCTGGCCCTCATCCGGAGCATTGGTGCGCAACGCTATGATGGCGGGTCTACATCGAGATCCATCTTCTACGGGTCATCAACTTGATCCAGAGGAGCTAGTGATGCATCAAAACCTATGGTATACCATTCTTGAGCTTGATTTGCAGAGCTCTATGGATGAAGGAATGCAACCTACTTTGACTCCAGACGATTGGGATATGCCATTACCGATGACTTCCGACCATCTGGACAACGCAGGAGGTTCTCAGGCCATCTCCGCTGTTCTGGTGCTGATATCCACTCTGCCAGTCAGACTTCAAATTGCACATTTTCTCAATAACATAAAAGGCTCAGTCGACTACAACGAAGCATTCATCCTGCATGAACAGCTAAGCCCTGCAGCACATCTCCTACTTTCATCGGACTCAGCTCATCGTTCTACCTCGACGGCATTTACTCATGGATTGCCCGCCGCTTTATGCGCCAGATCACTGTTAGCTCTCCACATCCCTTTTGGATCACTCAGAAGTCCATTATACACCTTCTCCCACAATATTTCCATGTCAACCGCAATGTCTCTAATGGAAAGGCTCGACCCTCCCCAAGACAAAACTGGGTGGCCAGAGAACGACGCGCTAGTAACTTTAATGCGCACTTCGAGTTCCATCTTCCAGACGATTGCTTTTCAAGCGATTCTCTTCATTTGCGTCCAGATGGAGAGCTACTTTGCGGATCCCCAATCATGGACCCTTGTACCTGAGCTCAAGGAGAGGTTTGCCAAGATCCTTGGACGCTTCATTTACATCGCTGAACAAAGGCTTCCGACACAGGATTTCGTTGGAAAGGCTTACATGATACCAGCCATGGTCCTGGCACATATGCGACTGGCGAATTCGGGGATGAGCAAAGACGGCATGGCAGCAAATGACGCGATAATTGCTGAGGAAGTAACGACAACTTGCTTCAGCATATTCCGCAACAGACCAGATCTGCCCTCTGACTAGGGCATTCCGATGGATTGTCGACTCTTCCCGTGCTTGCTCACGAAGCCAGATTGCCAGCGGTCACGAGCTGTGTGTGGTCCATCGCAGTCTCGGTCGGCTCGGCTCGGAGGAACCCGGCTTTCTCAGTCAAATTGATCTTTCTCTCCTCTTAAACCACCAACTTTCCTCATGAGCACAGAGAGTCCAATATTGACATCGGTTGGCGCGCAAATACAATTTGATCGGTGAAGTATCATCTGTCAGCCATGACAAACCTGAGCGACGCTGTGCCGTCCACACCGCTTCGGGGTTGAAATGCCGGACCGTACCCGGATCGCAGCTCGGCGATGTCGGAGACCCGCTCGAAATTCGGACACCGCGTTACGCGGCCTCCAGACGAGTCAGTTTCGGTCTCAATCTTGATGGTTTTCCGACTTTGATCTTATCAATCTAATCATGTGGGAGCAGCATGACGGCATGTGATCCTGGCTATAATGCCATTCAAGCGGGACCCTGAAAACTGCACCTCCTGCCGAATTTTCTAAGCTTTTCCGCGTTTCTTTTTCTTCACACTACTCGCAGATCTGGAGTGCATCGCACAGCAGAAAAGCACGCCGTCTTACCGCCCAACCATGGCTGCACTCCGCCCCCTCCGAAGGATGCTGCAGGATACCTTCTGCTGCCCACTCCCTTTTGGTGACTCAGAAGTGATATCCACGCCCCCACGTTACATCGCTGTTGATGCGCCGTCCAGCGTCTCCGCGAGTGACCTGCTGGAGGTGATGCAGACCCGACGATCGCACTACCAGCTATCTAGAAAAGTCCCCTTATCGACCACCCGCATCGACGAAATCGTTCAAGAGGCACTCGCGGAAGTGCCATCCGCCTTCAATTCCCAATCGAACCGAGTTATCGTGCTTCACGGTCAGCAGCATGACAGGCTATGGGACATCATTACCAAGATTCTCCGAGCCAAGGTGCCGGATGAAAAGTGGGAACACACGAGCGAAAAGATGAAGAACTTCAAGAAAGCCGCAGGCACTATCTTGTTCTTCGAGGATCAACAGATTGTCGATGACTTGCAAGAGAAGTATCCTAGTTATGCTACTGAGGTCCCTCTATGGGCCGCACAGAGCGATGGAATGCTGCAATATGCCGTGTGGACTCTCCTGGCGGCGGAGGACATCGGTGCCAATCTACAGCACTACAACCCCATCATTGATGAGGAGGTAGCGAAAGCTTGGAATGTCCCACAGAAGTGGAAATTGAAGGGGCAGCTGGTATTTGGGGGAATAACTGGAGAGCCTAAGCCAAAGGACTACATGCCGATGGCTGACCGGTTCAGATCATACGCATGATGCTCATAGAAGGATAAGGCGTCCGGCGTTCTCAACTTTTTGGCTGTAGAGGTGTTTACAGTAATATCATACAAGACTTTTCTTTCCGCTCTCGCCGCTCCACCGCACTCGAACAAGCTGCGAGCTTCTTTCAGGCCTCTTTGTTCTGCTGAACGCTAACAGTAAACACGTCGGTTCTCACGATCTTCCCGTTGAAGTTGTGTTGGTTGAGTATGCTCTCCTGGCTTCCCTTTGCGACAGCCGTGGTTGTCGTCGTATCGTCGAAGCTGATCTCGTCAGCCTGTCTCATAGCTCGCTTTCGTGCTTCCCGCGATCGTGAAAGCTCAATGTTGTCCGATCGCATGTGGCCGCTCGGCCCTGAGGGCCCAGAACCGTAGTTTTCGTATGTGTATTTGCCGCCGCCAGAGCTGAACATGCGCTTGCCGAATAGTAGTTCGCCCAGAGGCTGCAGCACGGGGATGCACGCGGCTATGATCATCGTGCTCCCTTCGACACTATTTCGGACAACGATCAGGTTTCTGCATCATAACACGAGAAAGATCTGCACTTACATCGTCCAAATCACCAAGTCCGCTGTGTCATCTGAACATAACAAAGTTAGCAAGAGTATGTTGGAGAAGGAAGCTCGGTTGAGGAACGTACACGAAAAGTCCTGGCTAGCCAGACTTGGAAGTCTGGTACACTTGTAAATCGCAACGATTGAAGAGCTGCCGAAAATTGTCAGTGTCTGTTTGAGCATATTGAGACCATGTGGCTTACATTGAGCCAATCCCTAGTGCGACACTCAGTGCAACTTTCTTTCTGACGCTCATCTGCAACTTCGCAAGCACCACGGCAGGATACACTGCCAAGTAAATATCCACAAAGGCACAGAAGCCTGGAGGAGTGACGCTTTAGCTCAAAGCCATATCAAGTAGCTTTGGGTATATCAATGCTTACCTCCCGAGTAGATGGCGAAATAAACAAGAATCCACTTGTCCCAGCATGTTTTATCAAGCACAGAAAAATCCCACTGCGAGTGCGACGGCTGGCACTGCGCGAACAGAATAATCACACAGCCAACCAAGTTCGCTAGGCAGAACAAACTCATTGCCCATAAGAATATTCTGTGTCCCTTGCTAGGGTTCATGATCCGAGTGAGGAGCGCCACAACAGCGAGTTTGGGAAGCCCGAAGGACATGACGCCCGCCGGGAATCCAGCGATGGTCCATAGGATAGCGCCTTGTTTCTGTTCGAGGTCGAGGATATCGAAGTGTCGTCCGTTTCCATGCGCCACCGCGGCGATGGCCGTTCCAACGTTTACCCAACCGCAGATCTGCAAACGATGCGGCACAGTCAGTTTGCCAACGTTCCAAGTGTTTGCTGAAGATTTCTTGGCTGCATATGCAGAGAACTCACCACAGATGCAATGATCAAATAGTCATCCAAGTGGACTTTGCCTAATATCTTCCCCCTGACGAAGAGTCTTGCTGCTGCGAACACGGTACTCAAAGCCGAGACGGAAATGACGATTCCGAGGGCCGTCGGGCCTTTGTCCTCGGCGTCTCGCTCAGGAGATGATGCGGTTGACATTGTCGCAAAAGTGTCAAGAAAAGACGTTTGCGAAAGAAAGGAAGAACAGTCGCTGCATGTGGGCTGTTGGGGGAGCTCGACAAGACAGCATGAAAAGCGCGGCAACGCCCGCGCCAGATGAAGGTGGAGGGTCGGAGAAATAAGAGACGGGTGCCTCCACGGGAACCTGGGAACCCCAAAGTCTACCGACTAGATTTCGCGGAGGCGGGAGCATCGTCCGCCATCTCCTGAGCCCTCGTTCGAGTCCAGTCTTTCATTTCCCATTGCGGTGCTGATCGCGACTTCTTTTAGGCTCCCAGTCAGGTTCCCGTTGCCACATTCCGGCCGTTTTTCGAAACAGACAAGGGATTGCAAAAGAACTTCCAACAGTCATGCCATTTGAGTCTTGTCGAGGATTCGAGCACAGAGACTCGTGTTGCAAGGGTTGGGCCAAGAGACGTTGAACCAACAGGATGTTCTCATTCGCCGAAAGGAACCAGCCCCCCTGAGCAAAAGATGTTATCCCTCGCCTGACCGGTGGGTTTCCGGTGGACTTTCCATATGTCCGCGGACCCACAGACTTGGGTCTTCAGCAGTGATCTATCATCACAGCCATCGAGTCCGTTGAAGAACCAACGTGTTGTTGGTGTTGTGTTGCAAAATTGACCCTGCATGTGCATACAAGCCCCCTGAAGATGGATATGAAGCTGCCGCTTTGAGCCCTTGGCGATCATGGGAGAACAAACATCGGCATCAGTCTCAACCCGAAAGGCTCGGGAGACACGTGGACTGAGCAAATAACAAGCCAGGAGAAGAATTCTATATATGATGGTACTTGTTTTGCCGGTTGAAAGCTCCTTCATTCGGCAGATCATCCTGTCTTCTCATTACACATCCAGTCTTGTCTTGTCGAATTCTTCTCTTTCCCCTTTACGCACTCGAGTCATTGTTCTGTAGCCATGGGTTCTCTTCCAGAGAGACTGCCGTTGGACCCCTCTGTGGCCATCCAGCCTAACGATGCCAAGCGCGTGGCCGAGCTTTCAAACGCGATCGGCTCTCTCGGAGCAACTTGGTCGCCAAGCGATGATGCCACACGCAACCAGCTCTTGAAGCAAGCTCGTGCGCTGGTTTTGTCACTTGAGACTCCCAGAGAAACAATGATTAGGCATGTCTGGGCCCAGGTTAGTCTGTTTCTACCCAACCTCACAGCTTTTGGCTGATCTCCATATCACAGCCTAACGTCAATGTCAACATTCTGGCGGGCATTTACTCGGGTCTCTGGAAGCACATGACCGAGAACCCTGGGCCCAAGAAGGTCGAGAAGCTTGCTTACACTCTGGGCTTCGATGCCGATGTTCTCGCTCGCTTGCTGCGTCATCTCGGCGCGATGGGATACATCAAGGAGGTCGGCGCCGATGAATATGAACTCACAAACTTTTCAAAGTCCTTGAGTCTCCCCCTGATCGCGGGAGGATATCCCGTCACGTAAGTCGTCTCCACCACTGCCGACATTCCCACCCCTGACTGTCCACAGCGTTGGCGGTTGCTGGCCGACCCTGGCCAACTTCCCTACGTACCTGAAGAAGAACAACTGGAGGATTCACGAGGATCCCAAAAAGGGACCCATGCAAGACATCATTGGCGAAGACAGTGACTTCTTCAACCACATGATGACCAACTATCCTGCCGGAGAATTCCAGAACCATATGGCTGGCTACAGGCAAGGCCGGCCGTCATGGATGGACGCTGACTTCTTCCCGGTCGCCGAGCGCCTGATTCAGGGTGCAGACACCGCCAAGGATGCCGCGTTCCTTGTCGACATCGGCGGCAGCACAGGCCACGATATCGACGAGTTCTGCCGAAAGCACCCCAACGCGCCCGGCCGCCATGTTCTTCAAGACCTCCCGCACGTGCTTGCGCAAGTTGAGAAAATCGACCCCAAGATCGAGCCTATAGAGTATGACTTCCACACAGAGCAGCCGGTTAAGGGCGCCAGAGCATACTACTTACACTCTGTGCTCCACGACTGGACAGACGAGGTTGGCAAGAGCATCCTCGCGCGTGTGACGGCCGCGATGAAGCCTGGATACAGCAAGCTGTTGATCAACGAGAACGTCGTGCCCGGAACGGGGGCCAACTGGCAGACTACCGCCCTGGACATGATGATGCTCACTCTTTTTGCTTCAAGGGAACGAACGGAAGCGCAATGGCGCAGCCTGTTGGAGCCGGCGGGTCTCAAGATCGTCAAGATTTGGTCCAAGGGCGAGGGAGTGGAGAGCCTCATTGAGTGTGAGCTGGCGTGAAAATGCGGAGGTTAGCGGGTGGTGAAGTTTTGCATGTTAGGAAGGTTGTTGGTAGATCTCGGGCTGGGCATGGAGTACGTCAGAACTCTGTTGGAAGAGAAATGCAACCGCCGGTCCACACTTCATTTGTTGACGACAATGTCTGCGATTATCATTCGCTCGTTGGTTCTGCGTCGTATGTTGCACCAACAGCAGCGTCCCAATCAGGTAACTAATTTACCAGCCCGGTTCCCCGAACCATGAAAAGAGAAATGATGTCCGTGTCGCGGCATGGCTGCCGGTGGAGCCGTTACGCAACGGCCCGTCTTACACCCCCAATCCGGCTCAAAGCTCTCCAGTTCCGCGGAAAGATGGCAACATTTGCCGATTGCGCCCAGCCTTGTCGTGTCTGTGTGCTCATGCCGAGTGCCGACTTCCTATCCTCTGCATCCTCTCTCTGCTGTCTGATCACGGATACGAGGCCCTGGTCGTCGCGTTACAATCACAGGTAAAGGAGACACGCGATGTGGAACAGATTTTACTTCCAATTATTCTTCCGCTGGTCGCGAGTAGGCATTCCTTCTCAGTAACAGAGACTATGCTGCAATTGTCAATTTCCAGTTTGGCAGACATAAGTAAACCTCAAGAAGGCTTTTATTTACTCAGTTCGATCAGTGTGCTTGATCTGTGTTAATGCCCTCTGCCACTTGACGAATGTGCTGATCTGGCGTTGACCGGACCGAAGGCCGGGATAATGGGTCCAGACGGCCGGAACGACGGCCCCGACACGGCCCCGCATTGAACTTTCGGCATCGGCGATCGGAAGACACTGCTCCCTCGCTTAACATATGCCGGAGCACTTAGGGACGGCGAAGCGGGACAGGGCCGACGCAAAATCTCCGCTGAACTCGGCCTTCCGGCGGGAACAGTGGAGGTCATGATCCCGGCGCTAAAGGCAATCGGGCAAACTTACTCAGTTCGATGTCCGACCTTCCGCACTGCCGTATGCCCCAATTTTGCTGAAGAATTTTCTGTGGAAACAATGTCCGCCTCCGCCGTCAGCACCACGTGTACGAATGAACGTTGTGCGGAACGTAATTAGGGGCTTCGAAGTGGCCGAAAGATGTCCGGGGTCCACCTTGTAAGGGTGGATGCTCTTTTGATGCAATCTTCAGGGGCCCTCATTCTTCAACCAACCATCTTCCCGGGCCACATAAAGAAATCTCCATGACCCCCGTTCGCGGGCCGTTTGACATCTCCGTTGCGTGCCAGACGCCACCCAAAAACCGTAACGGAATTGCTCGACATTGCCTCTTCTAGACATCAGAAAACACGACGTTACATCCAGTTTGTCACCGCGAATAGGGGCCGTTTTCTTTCCTCGATAATCAGCACACCCCCGCGCTTCTTCAGTGGAAGAGAGCACCAACACTCAACCTCAGCCCATCCTGGGCATGCGATAGCTATGCCGGCAAATCAAAGTCACTGTAATCCTTCCGCGGCCGCTGCGCCTGCGCGTCTTGTTGATCCCTCATGCCACGAGCCCTTGTCTCGACGTTGCAAAACCTCGGCCCTGTGGCTTTATCGGGCGTAGAGCCAATGCAGTTTATGTGGAGCTGGCACTTGGCCATCGTGACCCCCGGACTCTCCACAAGCAGCCTGATGCAAGGTGACCGTTGAGAAAACGATATTGCCCTCTCTTCTTCGCAACTTTTGAAATCATGTTTCAACATCCTTCCTTCATTCTTGTCGGTAATCGTCAACGATGTCGACTATCGAGACTGGACCGTCGTCCGTCGACGTTTCGGCGTCGTACCTGAGCGCGCGCAGCGTGCTTGGTCTCCTCGGCCTCTGGCTGGTGTACCAGTTCTTCAAGGCCCTTTACAACATATCGCCGCTGCACCCGTTGAGCGGCATTCCCGGCCCGAAGTTGTCTGCTGCGACGTACATCCCTGAGTTCTACCATGATGTTATCAGGTTCGGCAGATACACGAGAGAAATCCACCGCATGCACGAGCAGTATGGTGAGTTCAACCATATTATTGCTAAAGATTTTTGACAAGTTTCTAACCATCATCAGGACCCATCGTCCGCATCAGCCCTCATGAGGTTCACTGCAACGACGCCAACTTCTCCGACGAGATCTACGCTGTGAGCGGTCGCAAGCGCGACAAGCCAGTTCACCAGATCAACGGCTCGGCGTAAGCAACTCCTGCAGCCCCAGCCAATGAAGCGCAACTATGCTAATTACTCTGTACGACTCCAGCCTGGGCGAGTCTGGATTTGGAACTGTCGATCACGACCAGCACCGTCTGCGACGTGGCCCTCTCGCCAAGTTCTTTTCGCGCGGCAACATTGCCCGATTGGAGGCGGATTTGCATGCGATGGTCCAGAGGCTTTGCGACAAGCTGCTGAACGAGTCGGGCAAGAAGGAGTTTGATGTAACAATGGCTTACAGCTGCTTCACATCCGATGCCATTTCGGGCTACTGTTTCGGCGAGAGCTTCGGCTTCCTGCAGCAGGAGGGTTGGTACCCCAACTTCCGCGCTCCGACCGCCTCAATTCTGCGACCCGTCTTTGTCTTCCGCTTCTTTCCCTGGACCAAGTCTCTTACCGTGCTTGGAGAGTGGTAAGTCAATTTGGACGAGGTGGAGGCAAGGGAACAGCAACAGCGCTGACACCACACAAGGCTCATCAACTACTTACCCGCGGATATCGCCCTGCTTATCCAGACGTTGA